CTTAAAAAAAAAAAAAAAAAAAACTTAGTGAAATAGAAAAGTTTTTCTAGAATGCTGCTGCTGTCTAAGAAGGCATCTTGTGGTATTTCTTTGCAGACTTTGCAGGGTGGACCAACACTGACCCCTAGTGGTCAAGATACAGCACTGCATGTGTAAAGCAATTGATTTCTTAGCAATTTCCTGAAACACAAAACAGAAAAGCTTAATCCTAAACATTTTTAAGATTAAAGTTGGCTGTATCAACAGGTTTATGTTTTCATCCCAAAACAGGTTAGGCATATCTACAAAAAAAAAAGCATTATCATTTAATTTTTTTGTTCCAGCATACTAAAAATAGAAAGTAGGCTACTTAATCTAATTTTAAAGAAACAGAAACCATAACTAGCCTGTCACATGCCTTTGCGCTTGTACATCATAAAACATGGTTATAAAGGCTACTGTATGTGTGTTTTAGTTTATGTGTATGAGAGCTTTGCTATGTTGGGAGAAGTTGACAAGAAAATGCAGGATCCATCGAACACGAGAGAAGAGGGCCCCTTTCTTTTGCATGAATCTGGACATTAAACGAATGGACAGCTTGGTTTGGGTTTTCCGTTCCATTGTCCATGCAGGAGCCAGGGGGCTTATTTTGCTTCAGTCGTTGCTGCAGTGTGACTTAGCTCATGCTCTGTCTGCTTTGAAACAGGTAGGAATGCCAATGACAACATACAGATCTCTGTCAATGCTTTTCAGGGGCCATTTTCTCTACCTCTTTCCCTGAAGTTTCAATTGCTTTTTGTTTTATAGGCAGTTTAAAGTGTGACTCAGGTTAATGAAGGCCTTACAGGTCAATAGATTAAGCATTACCATCAAGTTTGCTAGTATTTTACCGGTGAAGGAATTGATCAGACAGCAGTTTGTTTGCTTTGTCAGAAGAGATTGCTAGAATGAAAGTGATCTGCCAATTTTGAAATAAAATGCATTTTTTTGCATAGCCATAACATATTAGATCTTTATTAAAACCAGAGGATAAAGTAAGTTACACATAAAGGGAAAATTGACTTTATATTCTAAACTCAAACTTTAATCTAAAACACTTTAGTGGAGTCACAATCATTTTAATGGGACTGACCTGATCAGGTCAAGTTGATGCAGCACAAATCATCATTCTTACACCTCCATATTGCAATGTGTTCATCCGTATTTTGTTTAAAGTGAGGCCTACTTTGCCATGCAGATTTTACCTCTGTTGTTATGTTAGATTTCAATATTTAGCAGTTATTGATCCAATACCTAACCTAGTATATGTGGGTGTAAATACAAAAGCAAGGGATCAAAAGGTACAGCGCAGATACAAATTAAAAAAAATAAAATAAAAAATCCTTTACATGATATAAAAACAATATAAAATATGCATAAAGAAACAAAATACCGCATGTGAAAATACTTAAAAATACCGTCCAGAATCTTAAATAGGAGTGATACATATATGTATATATATATATATATATATATATATATATATATATATATATATATATA